GTTGCTCCAGTCAGGAGGCTACAATCTCCGCGGAGCCAGTTACTCCTATAGTCCGGGCCATTGCTTCGGTAGCCACTGAGCCAGCAGCTCCTGTGTGTCTGCAGCTTCCGCCGTCGCCTCCCATCTCCTCTCCTCTCACAGTCCCTCCTCCTCCTCACATGCCCTCTGTGATAGCCTCTAGCTTTGCTTGCATTTGTGAACCTGCTCTATGACTGCGTGCCCTGCTGATTACACCCCACTTTGGCTATGGGGGTGTGTCAGAATGTTATTATCTAGCCTGTAGTGGGGTGCTCTATAGCGAGTACAACCCTGTTAGGGTTTGCTATATGTATCCCAACTGCTGCTAGTGAAACACTCTCCTTTGTTCATTTCTCTCTTGCCTAGCTAGCTAAACCCTAGCTATGGCTCCCCACTGTGCTTACTCTTGTAATAAGATGCTGGTGGAAGTTGTCCGCACGAGGGACTGTGGTTGTGAGATCGACACGAGTGGGGACATTGGGGTGCTGGCCGTATAGTGCGAAGAACGGTGACATGCCTGTAGCGGAGTGGTGCGTGTTGTTGTATGCAAGATCTGCCATGCTCAGCTTCTTGTCCCATGCTGCTGCGTCGTGCATCGTGATGGTGCGAAGAATCTGCTCCAAGGTCTTGTTCACGCGCTCAGTGTGTCCATCTGTCTCTAGATGGTACGCAGACGACATGGCTATGAGAATCCCAAACAGTGCAAAAAGATGCTTCCAAAACTTCGAGGTGAATCAAGGGTCGCGGTCTGAGATGATGGAATCTGGAACCCCGTGCAGTCGGACTACGCTATCTACGAACAGTGTCGCGGCTTCCTATGCTGTGACCTGGCCGTGCGTTGGGATGAAGTGCGTTGCTCAAGAAAACTTATCCACTACCACGAAGATGGCGTCGTGACCCCTAACTGTGCGCGGTAAAGCCATGATGAAATCCATGGCAACTACCTGCCAAGGGTGGTCGGGCGGTGGAATCGGCTGCAAAAGTCCTGCTTTGCGCAGTCGCGAGGACTTCGTACGCTGACACGTGTTGCACGAGCGAATGTAATCCTCTACGTCTGCTGCAAGCCCTGGCCAGTAGTACATGCGACTAAGCGTCTTAGCCGTCTTATCTGCTCCGAAGTAACCTGCACTAACTACGTCGTGTGCCTTGGAAAGAAGGAGTTGTCGAAGAGGGCGGTAGGCTGGAACCCAAATCCGTACTATACCCTTCCGTATGTAGACACTACCCTGCACCTCTTCTCCTATGGGCGGCTGTAGTATGAAGTCAGGATCTACTGTATAACCGTGCTCGAAGAGAGCTGTGAGAAGAGGATGGCCGGAAGTGACTGTGAGACTAGTGAGCTGGCAACTAGGGCGAGTAAGCGGATCTGCTGGGTTGCGCATGCCTGGCTTGTACTCTATCTTGTAGTGAATGCTCCCCTCCATGAACTCCATCCATCTAGCCTGGCGACGACTCAGCTGCGGCTGCGTCTTGAGGAAACGGAGCGAGCAGTGGTCCGTGCGTATAACACTATCAGCCCCCTCTAGGTAGCACCTCCACCCCTAATACGCATGGATGATTGTGAGCGCCTCCTTGTCGTGGATCGGATAGTTCAACTCCGCTCCCCTAAGCTTACGCGACTCGTATGCGATCGGCTGCAACCCGCATCACTAGTCCTGAAGAAGCACTGCTCATATGGCCTGGTGTGATGCGTCGGTCACTTTAACGTATGGGCGAGTGGAATCGGGGTACGACAGTGTCGGTGAAGACGTCAGCGATTGCTTCATTGAAAAAATGAAATATACCAATGGCCGCATGCAAGCTTGTAATGCACTTAGACTTACCTGAACCAGCGGCCAGGGGAGCAGGTGTGCCTGACAGACCGGCACCCACGTCGTTTGGGCCAGAAATGTATGCGTTAGGGCCCACGTCGGTCACACCTGCACCACCGCCATCGACCACATGCGGCCTTACGGCCGCCGTTCCGGGCTTCACGTTTTGCACGTAGCCCCACCATTACCAGATCCCATGTCCTTATGCGCGAGCTTGCAGTAGTCTGCCATAATGCGCTTCGAGGCCTGCTTCATCGGCTCACTCTCGCGATCCCATCCCGGGTTAGCCTTCTTCATATGTTTCCGCAGTTTTTTCCAGTATTGCGAGCCCTGCTTCCCTCTCAGGGCTTTGATGTCATCTCGGGTGTTCCAGCGAGCCGCTGCCAATTCCATGAGCTCCTCTTGAGCCCACGCTGTATTGTAGTTGTTGTCCGTCTTTGCGCGAGACTTGCGTCGACGATGCTTACGCCCAGCCGTAGCTCTAGTTGTCGCGTCGGTTACCTCGTCTTCCACGCCGTCGCTTTTGCTAGCATCACTGTTGTCCGAATCTGCCTCGCTTTCACTCGAGGACACTATTTCCTTGAGATTGTCAGAGTCGACGTCAGTGTCAGCGTCGATATTCTCGGCGGCGCCGTCCTCGTCATGGGCGATGTATTGAGCAGATGGTCCAAGGCCGTCGGCAGCCTCTTTCGCGATGGTTAGTTGTGCCGCTCCTTTCGCTTTCTGCGCTTTCATCCAGGCGACATATGGGGGATCAACCCATGGCTTCTCCTCATCCACCTTCTGCTTGCCTTTCTAACCGCGACTTTTGCGTGGCGGCATCCTGGAGGGAGGGTGTCACGGTGGAGTTGTGTGTTGATTTAGACGATGTCTCTTTGGAGTTGTGTTGAGCAGATCTGTGTTCGCGCGTTTGTGCATGTGCACTTGTGATCACAGATCTAGTGCTGGACACTGTTGGGGCCGCGGTGGTGTTTCCATCTCTCGTCGGGGATTTTGATGGTTTCCGTGTCGCTTCAGACTAGCGGGCGCGCGAAGGATGTGTTTGTGCGATTGGGGATATTTGCAGGTGTTTGGGTGACAGGCGATTTGTAAGTCGTCGCAAGGGGGGGGGGAGTTGCGACGTGCCCGTTCAACTTCCCGAGGGACCACATCTTGCCACCAGGAGGTCTAGTCCTCCATCCTTTTTAGAAGTTAGTGTCATGACACTAGCCCCTCTTGACACTTGCTCCAGATACGACCTTAGTAGAAAAACCTGTACTTACAATGACCTCGAAAGCCAAGCATGTGCAAAGGACCCCCTAACTAAACACGCTGTGGATACTTTGTTGATTCGTCGCATTGTTTTGTGATGCTGCTTTTTGCTCGCCATAAATAGCCAAATAGGCACCCATTTCTCTTAGAATCGTAAACACCTTAGTCGGCAATAGTCTACTTGCTTTCACCTATCGTGTTCTCCACGATCACCCGATTCCAGTAGTATCTGCAGCTCTACTTGAAGTTGTCAATACACACTTCAACAATTTTCAGAATCACCAATTGGTCAATGTTGTATTTCCAGAATGAGTACAAGCAGTTTTATAGTCAACCAAGGTACAAAATGTGCTTCGTAACGTAACTTGTTTCCCAAGCAATCTCGCGCGCACCTCGTTTCACCCCGAGTCGCACACACGACCGAACCGAATTCACCGAACACTCCTTGAGCCCGAATCTGGAAATTTCTGGAGCACGCCTTGGTCTCGAACCACATTTTCCCCCGTCGATCTCATTCTCGATACTTCTCCTCTCTTCCTCCTAGCTCATTTCTTCTCGATTTCTCTCTCGCTTCTCACGCCTTAGCTTCCAATGTCCGCAGTAGGCCCATTTCCACCAAAATCACTCTAGAATCTCCCACACGCTCCATTCCGCCGCCATTCCGCATTTCGCCGTAGGTTTCGTGGTTCGTCGAACCATCCCTAACCATCTCCCCTGTGGTTCGTCAACCACGAACTCCACTCACACTCCTCCTCTGCTCCTTGTAGCCTTCATTGTTAGAACATTATAGCTTATACATTTGTGTAGGCTGTAGTGGGGTAGCCCATAAGGGGTACAACCCAATTAGGGTTAGTACTTGTACCCAACAGTTTCATAGTGCATTCATTCCATTCTCACTTCTAGTCATGGTATCGAGCAGGTTCCCGAGTGGGAATACTGCCTAGGGCCCACCACGAACTTTTTTTTTTTCCTTCCCTGCCCGGAGCGCGCTTAGCTCCTAACCCGAGTAGCGCCTCGAGCCGCCTTAGTGGCCCCTATTGGCCGCCCTTACTGCCCCTCGAGTCGCCCTCTACGGCCTCGCTTAGGCCACTATGGCCCTGCTATGGCCCTGCTTAGGCCCCGTCGGCCCCGCTACGGCCCCGCTTAGGCCCCGCTACGGCCCCGCTACGGCCCCGTCAGCCCCGTCGGCCCCACTATGGCCCCGCTTAGGCCCCGTCGGCCCCGCTATGGCCCAGCTTAGGCCCCGCTACGGCCCCGCTACGGCCCCGTCGGCCCCACTACGGCCCCGCTATGGCCCCGTCGGCCCCGCTACGGCCCCGCTTAGGCCCCGCTACGGCCCCTCTACGGCCCCGCTACGGCCTCGTCGGTCCAGTCGGCCCCGTCGGCCCCACTACGGCCCCGCTTAGGCCCCGCTGCGGCCCCGCTACGGCCCCACTTCGGCCCCGTCGGCCCCTCTACGGCCCCACTTTGGCCCCACTTCGGCCCCGTTGCCACCGCGGCCCCGCCCACCCTTGCGGCTCGCCGCCACCTGCGACCTCGCCACCACCTGCGACCCCGCCTCCAAGCGCCCGCAACGCCGAGCAGCCAAACTGCCGGCCACCTGAGCCGCCCGACCTCCCGACCGCCCAGGAGCCGAGCCGCCCGACAGCCGAGCCGCCCAGCACCGTGCAGCTGAGCCGCACAGCAACCGAGCCGCCCGACAGCCGAGCCGCCCAGCAGCCGAGCCGCCCGACAGCCGAGCCGCCCAGCACCAGCAGCCGAGCCGCCCAGCAGCCGAGCCGCCCAGCAGCCGAGTCGCCCAGCAGCCGAGCCGCCCTGCAGCCGAGTCGCCTGACAGCCGAGCCGCCGAGCAGCCCGATCGCTCCACCTACCTGGTAAGAGCACAGTCTCTGCCACTGCACTGCCCTGCCTCCTGCTGTTATGGCTTCCCCTAGCGTTCTCACCTTTGACGGTGAGGGTCGGGCAGTGGACTTTGAGGTCTGGGTAGATGATCTGCAGCATTTCCTGCAGTGTGATAGGGCAGACGGTCTCTCCCTGTTTGACCTCACTTCTGGTGCCTCCCCTGCCCCTGCTGCTGATGCTGACGCCACTGTTCGCTCACAGTGGACCACACGTGACGCTGCTGCTCGCCTTGCTGTGCGCCGCCACTTACCGACCACTGAGCGTGCACACTTTAGCCAGTACAAGAGTGCTCAGACCTTGTACGACGCTGTAGTTGCACGCTACTCTTCCCCTGCCACTGCTGCACTGAGCCGCCTCATGCTACCGTACCTCTTCCCTGACCTTGCTGCCTTTCCCACTGTCGCTGACCTCATTACGCACCTCTGCACTAGTGACACTCGCTACCGCGCTGCGCTTCCTGCTGAGTTCTGCGCCAAGACCCCCCCCCCCCATGTACATCACCCTCTACTATATAGTCACCCGTCTCCCTGACTCTCTCCGTGTAGTCAGGGACCACTTCCTCTCTGTTTGCCCCACCACTCTCACCGTTGACCTCCTCGAGAAGGCCCTCCTAGCGATAGAGAAGAGCATAGTCGCTGTAGGAGCCTCTCGTGGTGACCCTCGTACCCCCGTCTTTGAGGGGTGTTCTCCCTCCCCCCTCTTGCCCTTTGTTGCCTTTGCTGCTGTGGCCGACCTCGTTGGTTTCGAGTCAGTCGGCACTGCGTCTGCCCCGAGCGGGAGACGACGCACCGACAAGGGCAAGGGGGGCAAGGGCACTAGAGGAGGTGGAGGGGGCGGTGGAGGTGGTGGTGGAGGCGGTGGAGGGAGTGGGGGTGGTGGTGGGAGTGGTGCTGGGGGTGGCGGCGGCAGCGGCAGCAGTGGAGGCGGCGGAGGCGGTGGAGGTGGCGGAGGGAGCGGAGGCGGCGGAGGCAGTGGAGGAGGCGGAGGTGGAGGAGGCGGCGGAGGCAGCGGTGGTGGAGCGAGTCGCGACTCTGCGTCAAGGAGTGGCGCCGGTGGTGGTCAGCGCCAGCAGCAGCAGCGGAGTGGTGTGACCCTCTCCCCTCAGCAGCTTCGTGAGTGGTACACTGCACGCCAGCGCGGTGGGGGTTTTGGTCCCTGCTCTTACGTTCTCCGTACCGGCGACTGCACTGGTGAGCAGTGCGGGGGACCGCACTCCACCCAGCGCTGCTTTGGTCGCCTGACGGACGCGTGGCGTCGCCAGTTCCCTGAGGCGTCAGAGATCCCTTGCTGGGGAGATCTGGCTAACGCCGGGGTTGCAATCTTTGATCTTGACTTTGATGCTATTCTTGCTGCCATGTATGCTGTTGCAGATAGTGTTGAGGGTGCCTGTTACCTGTGTGTACCGCCTGACCCGGGCATTGAGGCTGCTGCGCTAGGTGCTGGTGAGACTGCTGCTCTAGGTGCTAGTGCGTCTGCTGCCCCAGGTGCTAGTGCGTCTGCCGCCCCAGGTGCTGGTGAGTCTGCTCTCTTAGGTACTACGCCGGCTCAGGCCTTCCACACCTTCACCCTAGACTCGGGGGCGTCCCGCTCTTTCTTTCGAGACCGCACCACTCTTACGCCGCTCAGTCGGCCGGTTGCAGTCTCTCCCTCCCCTTCCTCCGGGGCCTGGCCCTACCTGCGTCCCCTGCGTTGAGGGGCGACAGCGCGCCGCCCCTCACTCCTCCGAGTTTCCTCTCACAGAGGCTCCGCTGCAGACTCCACACATGGACGTGTGGGGCCCAGCCCGCGTCAATGGGCAGGGGAGAGAGCGGTACTTTCTGCTGGTCGTTGACGACTACTAGCGTTACACCACAGTCTTCCCCTTGTGCAGCAAGGGTGACGTCACTGAGGTGTTGATCGACTGGATCCGCGCAGCTCGTCTCCAGCTCAGAGAGAGTTTCGGCTCTGACTTTCCTGTTTTGCGTCTGCACTCGGACAGAGGAGGGGAGTTTTCCTCTGCCCGTCTGGGAGCCTTCTGTCATGCACAGGGCATCCGCCAGACCTTCACGCTTCCGGCCTCTCCACAGCAAAATGGGATTGCTGAGCGCCGCATTGGCATGGTCATGGACGTCGCGCATACGTCCATGATGCATGCGGCTGCCCCCCATTTTCTGTGGCCGTTTGCGGTTCAGTACGCCGCGCATCAGCTCAACCTTCAACCCGGGGTCTCCTTGCCAGAGACCTCCCCCGCCTTGCGGTGGACATGGAAGGTTGGCGATGCGTCTGCGTTTCGGGTCTGGGGATCTCGGGCATTTGTCCGCGACTTGTTTGCGGACAAGCTGTCCCCCCGTGCTGTTCCTTGCGTCTTCCTTGGCTTCCCCCCTGACGCGCCTGGCTGGCAGTTTTACCACCCCACCACGCGTCTTGTTCTGTCCTCCCAGGACGTCATCTTTGACGAGTTGGTGCCTTACTACCGTCTCTTCCCCTACCGCACTGCGCCCCTCCCCCCGCCGCCGCTCTTCCTTGCGCCAGGTGCTACTCAGGTAGACGCCCTCCCTCCTCAGGGTCCTGCCCCTTTAGGTGTGTCCCAAGTAGACGCAGTTGAGCCTGTCGAGGTAGCTGTAGACTCTGGTGCTGCTAGAGGTGTTGAGCCTGCGGGTGCCGGGTCTGCGGGTGCCGGGTCTGCGGGTGCTGAATCTAGGGGTGCTGAGACTGGAGGTACTGAGCCTGGGGGTGCTGAGCCTGTGGGTGCTGAGTCTGGGGGTGCGGAGCCTGGGGGTGCTGGGTCTGCTCGTGTGGCCGCCGGCGGTACTTCGTCGAGGCGGGAGCCGCTCTCTCCACAGGAGCTGCGCGTGTGGTTCGCCCGCCGCTGGAGACGTGCTGCTGAGCCTGGGGGTGTTGGCGCTGGTGTTTCTACTGGTGCTGGTGCGTCTGGGGGTGCTGCTGAGGCAGCTGGTGCTGACGGTCCTACAAAAGTTGGTGGTGCTGGAGCTGGAGCTGCTGGGGGTGTAGGCGCTGGTGTTTCTACTGGTGCTGGTGCGTCTGGGGGTGCTGCTGAGGCAGCTGGTGCTGCCGGTCCTACTGGAGTTGGTGCTGCTGGAGCGGGAGCTGCTGGGGGTGTTGGCGCTGGCGGTGCTGCTGGCACTGGTGCTTCTGAGGGTACTGCAGTTGGCGCTGTTGGAGCTGGAGGTTCCGCCTGCGCTGGTGCTGCCGCTGGGGGTACTGGTGCCGTACTTGCTGGTTCTGGAGGCGCTGAGCGGCCGAGGCCGTACTTCGTTCCGCTCCTGGAGCAGGTTCTTGGTCTCCCGCCCTCTACTGACTTGCTCCTCCCCTAGAGTGTCCACCGCCTGTCCAGTCGCAGTCATAGTTACCGCCCGCCTCCCCTCTACCTGCTCCTTCTCCCTACACTGGTCCTACTGGAGGTCTTGCTGAGCGTCGTGAGCCTGCGTCTCGTCCCGCGTCACCTGTTCGTGCTGCTCGCACTAGTGGTCGTACTACACGTCCGCGTCCTCCTACGGTCCCCGGCACACACCAGATGGCTCTACGTCCTTCCACTGCTCCTCTGCGTGTCCCGTTGCCGTCTCCTCCAGATTCCTCTCTTCCTTCTCTTGCTGACCCGAAGTATGACTCTCTTCGTGCTGCTAGTCCTTCGGTCACGCGCCTACTTGCTACTGTCGTCACAGACCCTTCCTTTGAGTCTGCTGCTGCGTCTGCTCTCATTGTTGAGCTCGTCGACTTCGCTGCTCGCTGTCGTCTAGACTACGCTGCCAGTCTTGTTGCTGAGTCTGAGTCTGTCTGTCCTCCGTCCGTCGGGGGTGAGTGTGCTCTTAGCACGGACGTCCTTGAGGACAGGCAGGAGGAGTTCCAGTGCTTTGCGGCTGCTTTGCCCCATCTCGTGTCCACGCTGATTGCCCCTGAGGGAGACCCGGATGCACGAGACATCCCGACTCCTCGATCGTACACTGAGGCGATCGAGGGTCCCTACTCCTCTCAGTGGCAGTCGGCCATGGACGCAGAGATGGCTTCCTGGAAGTCCACAGGCACCTACGTCAACGAGGTTCCCCTACCTGGGGCGAACATCGTCAGTGGGATGTGGATCTTCAGGGTGAAGCGGCCGCCGGGCTCTCCGCCTGTCTTCAAGGCGCGTTACGTGGTTCAAGGCTTCGGTCAGCGGCAGGGAGTTGACTACTTTCAGACCTTCTCTCCCACCCCGAAGATGACCACTCTTCGGGTGCTGCTGCACATAGCCGCTCAGCGCGACTACGAGCTTCACTCTCTTGACTTCAGCACTGCTTTCCTGCAGGGCAGCCTGCACGAGGAGATCTGGCTGCGCCGCCCACCTGGCTTCACTGGGTCTTTCCCTCCTAGTACCCAGTGGAGTCTCCGACGGCCAGTCTACGATCTCCGCCAGGCGCCCCGTGAGTGGCACGACACACTGAGGACTACACTTGCGGCTCTTGGGTTTGCTCCTTCTACAGCCGACCCGTCGCTGTTTCTACGCACCGACACCTCTTTGCCGCCGTTCTATATCCTCGTGTACGTCGACGACCTGGTCTTTGCCACTGCTGACACTGCTGGACTCGCCCACGTGAAGTCCGAGCTGCAGAAGAGACATACGTGCACAGACCTGGGTGAACTGCGCAGCTACCTTGGCTTGCAGATCACCCGGGACAGAGCACAGCGCACCATTACTCTGACTCAGTCACACATGGTGCAGCAGGTCCTTCAACGCTTCGGCTTCACGTACTCCTCGCCTCAGGCCACTCCTCTGTCTACTCGCCACTCGCTCTCAGCTCTGCCTTCGGATGAGTCCGTAGAGTCGAGTGGCCTGTACCAAGAGCTTGTTGGCTGCCTCATGTACCTGATGACCTGCACACAACCTGACCTTGCATACCCTCTTAGCATCTTGGCACGCTATGTTGCTCCTAGGAGACACCGACCAGAGCACATGGCTGTAGCGAAGAGGGTGTTGCGCTACGTGTGCAGTACGTCGGGCATGGGGCTAGTGCTTGGAGGGCGACGTCGAGTAGTCCTCAGAGGTCACGCTGACGCTTCTTGGGTTGTCGACCAGGCTACGCAGCAGTCGTCACAGGGTTACACCTTCAGCCTTGGCTCTGGCTCTGTTTCGTGGCGGTCTACCCGCTCGTCCTCTGTTCTCGGCTCCAGTTGTGAGGCTGAGATCTACGCGGGGGCCATGGCTGCACAGGAGCTACGCTGGCTCACCTACTTGCTGACTGACCTAGGAGAGCTGCCTCGTTCTCCTCCAGTTCTGTACGTAGACAACAAGGCCATGCTGGCCTTGTGTCGGGAGCACAGACTGGAGCACAGAACGAAGCACATTGCTCTCCGCTACTTCCTGTCTCGTGAGCTGCAGCAGCGTGGTCAGCTCCGCCTCACCTACGTGGCCTCTGAGGCCAACACTGCTGATATCTTCACCAAGGCCCTTCCGCCTTGTGATCATCAGCGCTTGTGTACTGTGCTAGGTCTTGTGCCTACCTGGCCTCACTTGCTCACTTTTTGATCTTGTTTGTACTGTCTTCTTTCTATACCTGCCCTTGCTTGTTTTACCTTTATATATATGACCTTGCATGTGAACTGGCCTTGTGGCCTTACTCTTGTGCTTGGACTGTGTGGTGACTTTGTGAACCACCGTGAGCTTGCTTTGCTTTGCTTTGCTTTGCTTGACTGGTCTTGTGACCACTTGTTCTTCCCCGATTTGCCTATGAGGGTGTGTCATAATATTATAGCTTATACATTTGTGTAGGCTGTAGTGGGGTAGCCCATAAGGGGTACAACCCAATTAGGGTTAGTACTTGTACCCAACTGTTTCATAGTGCATTCATTCCATTCTCACTTCTTGTCATTCATAGGGTCTAAGTTGGCTTCACGCTCCCCTGCAGCTCCTTCACCTTGAACCTCTGCTTATGTGTCTTGAAGTTGAGTGCCTTTACATCCAAAATCTGAGAGATTTTCTTCAGCCTCTCGCTTCTCCTTGGCATCTTGTCACCCGACACCTCTCGGGTCTTGTACCCCTCAACGTGTTCCTCTTTCGTAAGCACTCACCCCTTTGCAGCTGCATTTGCCGTTGATCCTTTTACCATGATGCCCCCTTTCACAGCTTCAACTCCCACACACTTCGCATTTACTGCTTTATCTTCAACCACGATCACTGCTGCAAAAGTGTTGACACATTCTCCATCACCACCATTTACTGTTGCTGCCTCCATGGTGACTATATCCTCATCCTGTTTCACTACTACCTCAACACTTGCTGCCGTATCCTTCGAGTCCTCACTCTCATTAACCTCAGTAGGCTCAGGATCCTCATAGATCTCATCCTTTTTGTTCATCCCCACCAATTTCATCTCATAGAACCCAGTCACTAAAATAACCATCCGCATACTTCTCCCACTCATGACCAAACACTGTAACCTCGCCTCTGTCATAAAATATCTTGCACCCCAAGTCATCAAGCTGTGAGTGACTCACAAGATTCACCTTCAAATCCTCAATTAGCAACACACTCTCCAATTTTACAACTCCGTACGGACTCCGCAGCACCACGTCAACCCCTCGTGTCACTGGTAACTTTCCACTGTTACCTTGCAGTATATAATCCTCACTCAAATCCCTCACATTCTCCATCCAATCTGACCTGAACGTCATGTGACGCGTGCATCCGTTGTCCATGAACCATGTCGTCTTCTCACGTTC